TCCTCGCCGATGGGCTCCCGACGCTCTGCCTCCTCCTCCTCCTCCTCCTCCTCCTCCTCCTCCTGCTCCTCCTCCTCCTCCTCCTCCTCCTCCTCCTCCTCCTCCTCGTCGCCCTCTTCGAGAGGCGACCGCAACGACGGCGACGGCAGTGGTGGCCTCCCGTTCCTGCTCTCCACTGATCCCTCTTCCCTCATCCATTTCCCCCCCTCTCGTTTTGCCTCCTGCTCGATCTTCGGGGGCAGCGGCTGAAGCGACGAGGAGTGGGCAATCATCAGGAGGTGGCTGGAGGAGAACGGGGAGGACCAGAGCACTCCTGAGTTGCATCAGCGGTGCCGTGACGCGCCTTCCCGTGCCAAGTTCCCCCCCTCACAAGGCACGGCAAGTACGGCGGCGGCATTGGTTAAGGAATGTGCCCAGGAGGCTTCAAACCCTGGAGGATTCCTTACCTGATGAGGGCGGCGGTGATGTCCATGGCCAAGCCTCGATTGGAGTTCCGCGGGCTGGTCGCTACTTCGGTATGGGCGGCACAGCGCTGCACAGAGCAGCATTGGTCTGCACCCCTCTCGGTTTGGGGGGCTGCGGCTCTGCTTCACGATCGCTTTACGCTTGGCTCGCGATGCGGACGGCACGCGCGCGAGCTAAATCCGCGTTGAGGTTTTTTTGGACGTCGGGCAACTATTCCTTTCTATGACATCGAGCGCCTACAGGAAAAGGTTGCTGCATATATGCATGAGTGAGGGTCCCATGTTGACGACGTGCCGCCCTTCATCCGCGGAGGTACGGCCGATTTTTCAATGTCTGACCGCATCAGCCAGAGCCGTTTAACGCTGGAACCATATGCGGATAACGAGTCGCAGATCATGCTTGATCCTGTTGCAAAATTGAGACATCGGGCCGCAGACATCGGGCCGCAGAACCCCATTAGGAAGACAAACCGCCCTACTTCCGTGAAGCTGTTGTATAATCTAATCAGGCAAGAGTTGTATTGCACAAGTCTGACCGCCCTCCATCCGTGAAGCTTGTGCAACATTTGAGACAGCAGATCATCCACAATTCAGGATGCCTTGGAGTACGACCCCATTCCGACATCGAATCGCTCTCCTTCCATGTAGCCGTTGCAGATTCTGGAGTGTCGGATCTCAAGTTGTGCTGACGGCCCAGACGAGAGCTCCGTTTTACGAACCGCCCTCCATCCTTGAGGCTGGCGCAGAGATCGCAACGCCAGATCGTGACATTTCGGAGCGCCTCCGCCGACAGCCTCGCTGTGAAAGCTGGCGGCTCTCCACCCTTGAACCTGTGGCAAACATTGAGTTTCCGTCTCATGGACCGTGAAGGTGCCTTCAGCGTAAGCCGAGACCGCCCTGACGGAAGCTCTGCTGATGGGCCAATACGGAGCTGCCACCTGTGAGGGCAAGGCTGTGAAGTGGAGCGGAATCGTGCCCCTAAGGATGAGGACGTCCTCCCTTCTGTTTCCTCCTTCCTTCCTGCTTCTCTCCTCATCTTCCTCGCTCTCTTTCCTCCCTCCCCCGCCAGAACCCCTCTACCGTCCAGGGGTCCGACGGTTGCCCCTGGGGGTCGAACTCGCGAACAAGATCCTCCTCCTCCTCCTCCTCCTGCTCCTGCTTCTCCTCCTCCTCCTCCTCCTCCTCCTTCTCCTCCTCCTTCTCCTCCTCCTCCTCCTTCCAGAAGCGCATGCATTGCAAGAGCCCCTGCTTGAGAAACCGAGCGCGGACCCTCCGTCGCCAGAGGGCGGGGCCGTGCCGTGCAGCGCCGTGCTCCCGCGTCGTGCCGTGCCGAGGCTTTCGAGGCTGCGAGCCACTGTGCCGGCCGCCGTGCCGCGCCCGGAGCTCGCGAGGGCGAGGGCTCGCGAGCAGGCGGCGAGTGCGCGCCGCGTCGTGCCGTGCTCTTCCGTTTGGGAGCGCTGAGCACGTGCCGTGCCGTGCGCAGGGCTTCCAGGATGCCGGAGAGCACCGGCCGTGCCGTGCCCGCGTGCCGGGCCGGTTCCAGAATGCCGCCTGCCGCGGCCGCGTGCGGTGCCCAGGCTCTTTTGAGGCTGCGAGGAGCTTGCCGTGCCGCGCCGTGCCGGGCCGTGCCGCGTCGTGCCGTGATGCGAAAATCACGGTGCCGTGGCGCGCGGTGGCGTGTCCGCGCGCCGTGCCGTGCGGGTGCGAGTGCGACAGAAGTGTGCGGTGCCGTGCCGTGCCCGTGTGTCGTGCCGTGCCTGTGCCCGGGCCGTGCCGTGCCATGCACGTGCCGTGTCTAGCCTCCTGATCAGAGAGTGCTGCAAGGGCCTGGAATTGCCTCGAGGGAGCCCCCTTCTCAATCGCAGAATTCGAGAGCCGAGCCGTGCCTTGCCGTAACTGCGTGCTGTACCGTGTCGTGCCGTGCCATCCCCGCGTGCCGCGCCCTGCCGTGCCTGGGTCTAGGAGTGCCGTGCCGTGCCGGGCCCGCCTGGCAGCCGTGCCCAGGCTTGGGGTTGCGAAGCAGGTGCCGTGCCGTGCCGTGGCGTGCCGTGCGTTCCAGCGTCCGGCGGGCGTGCAGTGCCGTGCCCACTTGCCGCGTGGCCGTGCCGTGCCGTGCTTTCGCCGCGGAGTGCGAGCAGGGTGCCGTGCCGGACCCGCGTGCGGCACCGTGCCGCGCTCGGACCCCTGCGGCACTGGCCACCCACGCCGAGCACCGGAGGAGTGGCGAGGCGTCCCGGCTTGCCTACGGGTCCACCAAAGAGACTGTTCTGGAACCTGCTGGTGCGTGCACGACACGTTCTGAGGACGTCTCTGGCTGAGGCCGTCTTGTTTTTGGATGCATCGGGTCTACATTCTAAGAACCTTGTTTTCAAGTTCTCAGAACAGTCTTCGGTTCTGAGAAGATGTCCTGGTAGGCCTATAGGATTGCCGGGACGGTCGGTCTCTGCTCAAAGCACGTTCCATTAGATGCCGACTCACTGCGTGTGATCTCGTGCAGCGTTTGTACTTAGGGCCTCCTTGTACGGTGCAACTTTCACGTTCTGGCTGCCGAAGCGATGCGGCAAGCGTCCGCGGTGCCCGAAACGCTCCCAGTCTGCAGTACTTCAGCACCCAGGCGGCGCTGGAGAGCGGCATGCCTGACGGCTCGTTCTCGCTACAGGAGGTGGACGACCTGGAAGTGGAGGAGTGAGTTTTTCCGCAGTTCCTCCTCGGTGGAAGAGGAGGAGGAGGAGGAGGAGGAGGAGGAGGAGGAGGAGGAGGAGGAGGAGGAGGAGGAGGAGGAGGAGGAGGAGGAGGTGAGGAGGGGGAGGAGGGAGGGGAGGAGGAGGAGGAGGAGGAGGAGGAGGAGGAGGAGGAGGAGGAGGAGGAGGAGGAGGGGAGGAGAGGAGGTGGAGGAGCTGAGGAGGAGGAGGAGGAGGAGGAGGAGGAGGGAGGAGGGAGGAGGAGGAGGAGAGGAGGAGGAGGAGGAGGAGGAGGAGGAGGGAGGCAGAGGAGGAGGAGGCAGGAGGAGAGGAGGAGGAGGAGGGGAGGAGGAGGAGGAGGAGGAGGGAGGGAGGAGGAGGAAGAGAAGAGGGCATGGAGAGCAGGGAAGGAAGGTGAGGAGGGGGAAACAGGATGGTGATTCAGGCGGGAGTGCGTGCTCTGCTTTCCCACTTCCTTCCTGCTAGCCTCCCTCGGGTCCTTGGCCGTCATTGCTCAGCGCCGGCATCGTGCGCGTCGCTGTCGCCAGGCAGCTCCGTGGGCACCCGACGCTGCAGCCGGGGCTCCTCCGTGAGCGTCCGAGGGAGCGGGGTAGCGGCGCTCCCGGGGGGGGAAGGCAAAGAGGGGCCAGCCCTTGAACAAGGCGGCGGGGCTTCTCGGAAGCCCACCGGCCTTCTCAGAACCCCCGCCCTTCCCTGCCCCCCTCGGCGCGACGCCGACTACCGTCGGGAACGCTTGTCTAGCTTGTCGCGCCGCCGGCTCTGGCCTGGCCCACCGCGCTTCGGCGCGACACGCTGAGCATGTCCCCAAGTCCAAGCGTCAATGACCCGAGCTCTTCCCAGCCTCCCGTCCCGCGAAGCAGAGCGACACGCTATCAGTTTGCAAGGTATTGCGTGTCGCAGGGGCCGCGGCCGCGACACGCTGAGCGCAAGTTCCTTCCAGTATCGTTCGTCAAACAGTGCCTGCACTGCGGGATTCTTCCTTCGTTTGCGAGGTGCTAGGGTTGGTTGGCGCTCGGCTCGTCGCCAAGCTGTTGTCGCCCTGGTGATTGTCGGATCTTCGGCCCTTCGTTGCCAGTCGACGGCCTAGTTGGCTGATGGTGCGCTATATTGCGCCGCGCATTGCCCCACCTATAGTGTGCGAACAACAGTTGCACTGCACGGCTTGCACCTTGTAGATTTGGCCACATCTATGGCACCACATCCAGATGACATCACATACGTACTGCATGTTGCACCACACATATGGACAACATACACGCGCATGTTTGGCACCACTTCGATTACCGCATCGATTGCACCACACTGATTGCGCCGCACAGGTAGCTCCATACACAGAGCGCAATCAGCAACTTGCACTACATGTGCTGCACCACGTGCTCAGTGCAGCCCGTGTGTTGCACCACGTGGACTGCACCGCCTAAGTCTGCACGCAACTTGCGTTACATGAGGTGTACCATGCACCGTGCCCTGTCTGAATTGGTGTGGGCCCCTCGTTCTCTCAGTCCCCCCTCCGGCTTACTTCCTTCCCCTCCTCCCCTCCTGCTTCCTGAACGCGCTCTGGGGCGTTCCTTGGCCCCCTTCGGGGCCTCCCGTTGGCCTCTCGGGGCCATTTGGAAGGGGACGTGCCGTGGGTTCGTGCGGGCCCGTCTTGGGCGCGACGGGCGCGACTGCTCTGCTGGGTCCTCGCGATGGGGCTCGGCAGAGCCGTGTCGGGGACGCCCGGGCAGGCTGTCTTCGGGGGCGCTTCCCCCGCTTCTGGCCCCTGTTTGATCGGGGGTGGATAGACCTCCTACCCAGACGCGTCGATGAGCGAATTGGCCGTTTTTGGCTCGCGAGAGGGCGTCGCGGCTGTTATTTCTGCGGGTCCAGGTCCGTCGGTTTCGGTCCTAGGCCGCTTCCGCTAAAGGGAGGTTTAACTACTAAAGGGAGGTTTGCCCACCGCCGATTTGAGCCGTACTGGACCGCCTCGCCGGCACCCCTCGTGTCGGGGCTTGCCACATTTTCTCACACTGGTCGTTCTCGGATGGTTTCGGGCCCCGGGGCCATCACAGATCGGTCCGCCGCCCAAAGTGCCGCAGGCAAAGTCGGTGGAGGGCTCCGTTCGTGGTGTTGCGCGGGGTTGCACGCGCGGCGTCGGACCTCAGGGCCTCTTGGGGCACTCAGAAGACCTCCGCGAGGCGGCCCGAAGCCGAACATCCATGGGAGCAGAGCTCGCGCTCTCCATTGCTCCTGGCATCGCTCGGATGTGTGAATTTTCCCTTCGGCGAGGAGCATCGAGAAGCATCCTTGACCATTTGGCGAAAAAACCACGCACGAAACCGAAATAAACACAGGGAATGGACGTCCGAGCGATGGCGAGTGCTTCGATCGTTTTTGGCTCCCTCGAGTCTCTCCGCCTCGGCGCTGCCTGGGGCGCCCTCGGGCCTCCTGAGGACATCCTGGAGCCTTTGTGGCGGTCTCGTTGGGCAGTCGCCGCTGGATCTTGGCGCCTTTTGCCGCCTTTTGGAGCGGTGTCTGCAGCCCTCCTGAGTCCTCGGGTGGACGTTCTGTTGCCAGCTTGCGGCGCTTTTCCGAGCTCACTGGATCGTCTGGGCGGTCCTGGCAGGCGAGGCGAGGTAGGAGGGGGGGACTTACTCCTTCCCTCCTGCTTCTTCTCGTTCTCCTTCCCGTCTCCGTTTCCTCGTCCTTGCATGTTTGTTTCGATTGATTCTGCGAAGACAAGGGCGATTGCACTTCTTGCCCCCCGAGGCATGATGAGATTGCTCTTAGACCAGACTGCGCGGGGACGCCCTCGGTCCATATCTCTCGCTGGTAGGCTCTTGGTCCGAACCTCCCGCTGTGAAGGTGTGCCTCATTTTCTACCTCCACCCCTTCCTGCAGGGCGCCTCACACAGAGCCCTTCGTGCGGGCGTCAATGGGGACGCATCCCCCCGTGCCCGCAGCGATGGCACGGCAGGTCCCTCCGCGACGAATTCCCACGCGAGAGGGGGCTCACCCGAGGCCACAAAGACAAGCGGCTGTGCGAAGTCGCAGGTCAGGCCCTGGCCGGACCCCTGTTGAAACCGACCAGGCTCCTGCCTGTGAGCGAGGAAGAAGTTCTGCGGTACACTGCTCTGGCGAAGTGTGCGGAACGGCGGGTCTCCGCGGACAACTCCTGCTCTGGAGGGGGCTCTGGACCAACATCGTTTTGGAATCGCTCTCGAAGGTGGTTTGAGACATCCAGGAGGTGCGCTCCGCGGGTGCATGGATATTTGACGCATTCGTTGCACTGCCGAGGCCACCAACGCGAGCGCCAGTGCCAAGTCATAGGTCAGGCCCGGGCCGGCCCCCTGCTAGAACCAGCCAGGCCTGTGACCTTGAGCAAGGAAGGGGCTTGATACATCTGCAAGGTGCGCTCAGCAGGTGCAGGGACATTGGTGCCCTCGTCGGACTCATAGATGTGATTGTGGCCTGCGATTCGTGTCGCGATCGGCTGCCCTCGCACGCGCGGCAGAACGGCAACCCCCGAAATTTGGGAAAGGCCTTCCAGAGTAGCGAACTATACCCCCCAGGTTATGAGCCGGGTGAGCGCACCAAATCGTTCCCCCAGAGGGAAGGAGGATATCCTCTCTCTCCCTCACGTCCAATTCCGATCGTGGACCAGGTCCGGGGGCCTCCAGGGACCCACGATGAGGATGATGATGATGAGGAGGAGGGTGAGGAGGAGAAAGAGGAGGAGGAGGAGGATGACTGTGACAGGGACGTCGACTGCTTCTGCTTCTGCTGCTGCTGCTAATAGTGATGATGAGGATGCTGATGATGAGGATGTGAGACATGCGTCTGAGGTTTAGGATGATGATGGTGGTGATAATGGTGAAGATGATGATGACGATGATGATGATGATGCCGAGGACGACGGCGATGATGATGATGATGCTGTTGATTGCGATGATGATGTTGATAATGATGATGATACTGATGATGCTGCTGATGTTGAAGATGATGATGCTGATGATGATGGTGACGATGCCGATGCTGTTGTTGTTGATGAGGGTGCTGCTGGCGATGATGAGGATGTTAGGTGGCTGCTGATCATGAGTCTGAGTCTGATGATGATGTTGATGCTGATCATGCTGATGATGATGGAAATTCTGATGCTGGTGATTGATGACGATGCTGCTGCTGATGCCGATGATTTTGGTGATGATGGTATTGATAGCGATGATGGTAATGGTAACCATGATGACGATGATTATGGCGGTGCTGACGATGACGACGACTATGATGCTGCTGATGATGCTGCTGATAATGAGGCTGATGGTGATGTTGATGATGCTGACGTCGTCGACGACCACGGTGGTGATGTTGATGATGATGCTTAGGACGGTGATGACGACGATGATGATGCTGATGGTGCTGATGATGATGCTAATTCTCATGGTTTCAACCTGTAGTATTGTTATTATTCTCCGTATCTTTTTTATCATCACCACCATTCGTCTAATGTTCATGACGAGGACGAGGACACGGACAATGATGCTGACCTTGTTGTTGTTGTTGTTGCTGCTGCTGCTGCTGATGATGATGCTGTTGCTGCTGTTGATCATGATTATGCTGATAATGTTGCTGCTGCTGACGATGATGACAATGTCCATGGTGATGCGGCTGCTTATGGTGATGATGGTGAGTATGAACATGCTGATGGTGAAGATGCTGATGATGGTGATAATGATGATGCTGCTGATGATGATGCTGATAATGATGATGCTGACGATGATGATGCTGGCGATTATGATGATGCTGCTGATGCTGATGATGATGCTGCTGCTGATGAGTATGTTGTTGCTGTGGTTGAAGATGATGGTGATGATGATGATGTTGATGCTGCTGATGACGATGATGATGATGACGGTGATGATGATGATGATGATGATGATGATGATGACTATGATGCTGCTGCTGATGATGCTGATGCTGATTATGATGTTGATGCTGATGCTGGTGGCGGTGATGATGATGCTGATGCTGATTCAGAGGAGGACGTGGACGAGGAGGAGGGGGAGGCGCATGCTGATTATGATGATGAAGCTGATGCTGATGCTGATGATGATGATGATGATGAAAATGATGATGATGCTGATGATGATGATGCTGATGATGATGATGATGATGATGATGATGATGATGGTGATGCTGATGATGCTGATGGTGATGAGGAGGAGAAGGCGGAGGAGGAGGAGAAGAGCTGAGGCTCAGGAGGAGCATGTGTAGTAGGAATATGTGGACACGGCTCAGCAGGCTGAGGGTCCTCCTCGTTCTGTTCACTCTTTCTTCCTTCCATTCCCTCTTCATTCCTCCCTCTCCCCCTCCCTCTCGTTTCCCTCTTACGTGTCCTCCCTTTCCTCCCTGTTTGTCCTCCTGCTTCTCCTCCTGAATCTGCTTCTGCTCCTGCTGCTCATCTTCCTTCTTCTCCTCCTCCTCCTCCTCCTCCTCCTCCTCCTCCTCCTCCTCCTCCTCCTCCTCCTCCTCCTCCTCCCCCTGCTGGGGCATCCAGGGTCCTCCTGAATTTCTGCTTCCGTTCCGCAGGAACGGAGGGAGGCGAGGGCAAAAGAGGACGAGGAGACACCAGGAGGCAAGCGGCGGCACGATCCAGGGGCGGCACGAGATGATGCTGATGCTGATGCTGCTGCTGGTGCTGATGATGCTGCATGGGGAGGAAGACGAGGAGGAGGGGGAGGAGGGGGAGGAGGACGAGGAGGAAACGCTTTAGGCTGTGCTCCTGAAGTGTGCCTAACGTCAAAGGGGACGAGGGGAAGGAGGAGGAGGAGGAGATGGAGGAGGAGGAGGAGGAGGAGGAGGAGGAGGAGGAGGAGGAGGAGGAGGAAGAGGCGGACGACGAGGACAAGGATGTAGAGGACGAGGAGGAGGACGGGGTGTGGCGAGGGCGCGTGCGCGGGCCCGCGCGCGGGCGGGCGGGCAGCGCCGCCCTCACGGGGCGGGCCTCCGGCCCTCCCGCGGTCCCGAAGGACACGTTCTTCCTGATGCACATGGCCGACGGCTCGGAGGTCCTGCTGGAGGAGACCGCCGGCGGAGGCCTCCAGGGCTGGGTGGACGCCTTCTCCCAGGCCCGACCGCCCCCGCGTCCTCGGGGGGGGGGGCTCCGCGCTCGGCGGGTGCCCCCTCTCCGGAGGCTCTCCGTCGGGCCTCGGCGGTTTCTCGGATGCTGCTGCTGCTGTTGGTGGTGCTGCTGCTGCTGATGCCGATGGTGGTTGTGGCGATGTTTTTTTTGGTGATGCTTCTGCTGATGATGCTGATGTTGGTGATGGGGCTGCTGCCGATGATGCCGATGCTGGTGGTGCTGCTGGTGGTGATGCTGATGGTGACGACGACGATGATGATGCCGACGATAATGATGCTGGCGATGAGGATCATGATGCTGCTGCTACTGATGATGGTTATGGTGTGGGGTGGGATGATTGCGATGATGATGGGAATGCGGCGGATGATGATACTGGGGAGGAGGATACTCAGGATAATGCAGATCATTTTGGCGATGGTGTTGACGATTATGATGATGATGATGATGAGGATGATAGTGAGGATGCCGTGGTTGATTGCGATGATGCTGCTGCTCATGTTGAAGATGACGATCACGATGGTGATGCTGGTGATGATGATGCTGATGGTTGTGATGCTGAAGGTGATGATGCTGATGGTGATGATGATGCTGGCGCTTGTGATGCTGATGCTGGCGATGATGGTGACATCGGCGATGATTATGCTGATGATGATGCTGATGATTATGGTGGTGGTGACAATGACGACCAACATGATACCCATGATGATGATGCTGCTGATGATGATGGTGATGGTGATGTTGATGGTGATGGTGACGGTGGTGGTGGCGGCAATAACGATACTGATGACGACGCTGATGATGAGGACGATGGTGCCGCTGATGATGAAGATGCTGATGATGATGATGATGATGATGATGATGATGATGATGATGATGATGATGGTAATGATGCCCTTATGATGACGAAGATGCAGATTTCGCTGACGATGATCGTGATGGCGACGATGCTGACGACGATTCTGTCGAGGACAATGTGCATGGTGATTGTCAAGATGATCAGGATGGGTTTGGTACGCATGGTGATGTTGATGCTAAGGGTAATACTGGTATTGATGATGATGGTGCTGATGATGCTGATGATGTTGATGCTGATGCTGATGATGATGCTGATGATTTTACATGTGATACCCATGACGATGATGATGTTTGTCATGCTGCTGCACCGATGCTGCTGCTGATGATGATGATGATGGGGTTGAAGCTGATTATAACTATGATGAAGATTGTGATGGTGATGGAACTGCTGATGCTGCTGATGATTATGATGCTTATGATGCTGATGATGCTGTTGTTGTTGATGCTGCTGATGATGATGCTGGTGATGATTGTGTTTCTAATGCTGATGTTGGTGATGTTGCTGCTGTTGATGATGAGGATGTGAGCGATGATGGGGATGATGAGGATGAGGACGAGGATGAGGATTCGGATGGTGATGCGGCTGACGGCGATGATGATGATGGTGGTGATGATGTTGATTATGATGACGCTGGTGATGATGACGGTGATGATGATGAGGGTGGGATGGTGATATTGCTGCTTCCGCTGATGATGCTAATGCTGCTTCTGCTGATGATGCTGATGATGACGACAATGACAATACTGATGCTGACGATGAGGATGATGATGCAAATGAGCAGGATGATGCTGCTACTGATGATGCTGCTGATGATGATGACGATGCTGATGCTGATGATGATGATGATGATGATGTTGATGATGCTCATGATGATGCTGTTGATGATGCTGATGCCGCTGATGATGATGCTGATGCTGATGCTGCTGATGATGTTGATGATGATGCTGATGCTGCTGATGATGATGCTAATGCTGATGCTGATGATGATGATGATGATGCTGACGATGCTGCTGATGAGGATGATGTTGCTGCTGCTGGTGATGATGATGATGACGATGATGCTGATGATGGTGACGATGATGATGATGATGATGATGATGATGATGATGATGATGATGATGACGATGACGATGATGATGATGATGATGATGATGATGATGATGATGATGATGATGATGATGATGATGATGATGATGATGATGATGATGATGATGATGATGCTGACGAGAATGAGGAGGAACAAGAGGCGGGAGGAGGAGAAGCAGGAGGAGGAGGAGGAGGAGGAGGAGGAGGAGGAGGGTAAGAAGGAGGAGGAGGAGGAGAAGGAGAGGAGAGGAGGAGGAGGAGGAGGAGGAGGAGGAGGCGGGGGTGGTGGAGGAGGAGGAGGAGGGGGAGGATGGGGAGGAGGAGTGTGATAGGCTCAGTTTCTGCTTCTCATCCTCTTGTGCCCCTGGGGTTAGCATTCGCTGCCTCGGCATCGGCCTGGAATTCACTCTTCTTTTTTGGGGGGGTGGGAGGCAGAATGCGCTCGTGGAGGAGGGCGGAGAGCAGGATCATTAAATCGGGACGGTGCACGAGGAATCGTATGATAGAGCTGGGGTGGAGAAGGGAGGGATTACCGGAGGGATTTGGAGGAGACGGAGGAGGATGAGGAGTGGGGAGAGGAGCAGGAGGGCCAGTGGAAACCCACGAGTCATCAACGATGTTGGAATCAACCTTCCAAGCTCCCTCTTCATGGGCCCCTACATCGGTTCATTCCCATTGAGGGAACTGCCTCGTTGGAAGACAACAGTTCGAAGATCCTGAAGCGTGCCAAAACATTGTTCTCGGGATTTGACCGCCACGTATCAACTTGACTGCTGCGTCTTGACGATCCAGAATCGTGCCAGAACGCCATTTTTACCTAACAGCGTTTGCTGATAGGTTTCTAGTAGGGTCAAAAGAGAGCATCATGACTCCTCAGGGGGGTCTGGGCGGGTGCCGGGGAGGAGGGCCGGGAACAGAGCCGGGCTCGTTTTAAGCCAACTGTAGGCCACTTTGTGCTCTTCGAGCTCCCAGAACTCCATTCCCGGGCCACATTTTGAATAACCGGAACCAGCTGTAGGCCACTTCGTGCTCTTCGATTTCCCAGAACTCCATTCCCGGGCCACATTTTGGATGCCTGGAGCCAACTGTAGGCCACTTCGTGGTCCTCGAGTTCCCAGAACTCCATTCCCGGGCCACATTTAGGATGCCCGGAGCCAATTGTAGGCCACTTCGAGCTCTTCGAGTTCCCAGAACTTCATTCCCGGGCCACATTTTGAATGCCCGGAGCCAACTGTAGGCCACTTCGTGGTCCTCGAGTTCCCAGAACTCCGTTCCTGGGCATGATTTTGAATGCCCGGAGCCAACTGTAGGCCACTTCGTGTTCTTCGAGTTCCCAGAATTCCATTCCCGGGCCACATTTTGAATGCTGATACAGGCTGAGGCTGAGGCTGAAGCAGGCTGAGGCTGAGGCAGGCTGAGGCTGAGGCCGAGGCTGAAGGCAGACTGAGGCTGAGGCTGAAGCAGGCTGAGGCAGAGGCTGAGGCTGAGGCTGAGCTGAGGCAGGCTGAGGCTGAGGCTGAGGCTGAGGCTGATGCAGGCTGAGGCTGAGGCTGAAGGCTTTGGCTGGCTGAGGCTGAGGCTGAGGCTGAGGCTGAGGCTGAGGCAGGCTGAGGCTGAGGCTGAGGCAGGCTGATGCTGAGGCAGGCTGAGGCTGAGGCTGAGGCTGATGCAGGCTGAGGCTGAGGCAGGCTGAGGCTGAGGCCGAGGCTGAAGGCAGACTGAGGCTGAGGCTGAAGCAGGCTGAGGCTGAGGCTGAGGCAGGCTGAGGCTGAGGCTGAGGCTGAGGCTGAGGCTGAGGCTGAGGCAGGCTGAGGCTGAGGCTGAGGCTGATGCAGGCTGAGGCTGAGGCAGGCTGAGGCTGAGGCCGAGGCTGAAGGCAGACTGAGGCTGAGGCTGAAGCAGGCTGAGGCTGAGGCTGAGGCTGAGGCAGGCTGAGGCTGAGGCTGAGGCAGGCTGATGCTGAGGCAGGCTGAGGCTGAGGCTGAGGCTGATGCAGGCTGAGGCTGAGGCAGGCTGAGGCTGAGGCCGAGGCTGAAGGCAGACTGAGGCTGAGGCTGAAGCAGGCTGAGGCTGAGGCTGAGGCAGGCTGAGGCTGAGGCTGAGGCAGGCTGAGGCTGAGAGGCTGAGGCTGACTGCGACTGCCGTTGCCACTGCGACTGTCATCGCGAATGCGACTACGACTGCGAGAACAGCAGAATTCTACAACTGGATTCTGATCCGAATCTTAAGGGGAATGCTTTCATATATGCTCCTACACATCGCTGTTAGGTTGCTTTGCCGGGATACTTGGGACTTCATAGCTGTTGCGCCCGCATAGTCCTGAATCCTTCCAAAACATCATTCCTGGTACGTTGATCATGGGAATCCGTGAAACTCTTGCAAATTTAAAAAAAAACGAATGTACGCGGCGCTCAGGCGGGAGCCACATTTTGAAAACGACCCGCCCTCCATCCGTGAAGCCTTTGCAAATATTGAAAACGAATGTGCGCGGCGCTAAGGCGAGAGCCACATTCTGAAAACGACCCGCCCTCAATCCGTAAAACTCATGCATTTTGTTTTAAGCGAGTGTGCGCGGCGCTAAGGCGAAAGCCACATTTTGAAAACGGCCCGTCCTCAATCCATGCAACTCTGACAAAGTTTAAAAACGAATGTGCGCGGCGCTCAGGCGAGAGCCACATGTTGAAAACGACCCGCCCTCAGTCCGTGAAGCTCTCGCAAATGTTTAGAATACATGTGCGCGGCACGAAGGCGAGAGCCACATTTTGAAAACCACCTGCCCTCAATCCGTGCAACTCTTGCAATTTTTCGAATGTGCGCGGCGCTAAGGCGAGAGCAACATCTTGAACTTCACCCGCCCTTGATCTGTGGAACTGTTGTGATTTTTAGCTTCAGAGTTACACCAAGTGAGGAAGTCTCAGGCGAAACGCCCGGCGCGCCCTAAAAACCGGCCTCGGGGAGCGACAGGGAGGAAGCATACATAAGGAGAAGGAATGGAGTAGGAGGAGGAGGATGAGGAGGAGGAGGAGGAGGTGGAGGAGGAGGAGGAGTAGGAGGAGGAGCAGGAGCAGGAGCAGGAGGAGGGAGGAGGAGAGAGAGGAGGAGGAGGAGGAGGAGGAGGAGGAGGAGGGAGGAGGGGGAGGGGGCAGGAAGAGGAGAGGAGGAGGAGGAGGAGAGGAGAGAGGAGGAGGAGGAGGAGGAAGGAGGGAGGAAGGAGGAGGGAAGGAGGAGGAGGGGAGGAGGAGGAGGAGGAGGAGGAGGAGGCGGAGGAGGAGGAGGAGGAGAAGAAGAAGAAGAAGGAGGAGTGGTGTGTGGGGGTGGGTGGGCGGGGGTTGGGGAGGAGGGAAACAATGAAGAGGACGCGGATCAGGATGAGGAGAAGTTGTTGCGGACTCGGGTGGCGGCGATCAGCCTCCCCCCACCAGGCGTCCCAGCAGGGACGGGACGCCAGAGGGAGGGCGGCCGTTGTCTCTCCGAGCGCTCCTCCCCCGAGGTCGTGGGCTGCCAAAGGCGCCCCTGGCCCAAGGTGTCCCCCCGGGGGCCCTTTGGGCCTCATGAGGGGTGCCTTTCGTGCTCCTCGGGCGGGGCCAGGACGAGGATACATCCGTTCCACAGCGTTCCGGAACGCTCTCAGAGCGTTCCGGAACGTTCTCAGAAGGCCGCCAGGTTTGGAACGTTCTCAGAGCGTTCTGGAACGTTCCGGAGCGTTCTGGAACGTTCTCAGAGCGCCTGGCTCATCCTCCAGAACCGCCAGGTCTCATAGAATCCCGATTTGTCCTCACCCGATTCTATCCTCGTTCTGGCTTCGTCTTAGCTCTGGAGGCAGTGGGGAGCCCCCTTGAAATTCGAGGGGCACCTTGGGCTGGGGCACTGCTAGCAACACCCGACGAGGGGGAAAGGAATAAGAGCAGCCACGCTCTTGTGGCCATGCCGCGGCTGTCCCTGCCTTTGCAGCGCCGCCGCCGCTGGCCTCGGAGGCCAGGCCTCCGCTACGCCCTCAGGCCTTCGAGGGCGAGATGGACGAGCCGGTCGGGGGCACGCCGGTCGCGGCGCCCCCAGCCGTCAAGGATCTCCCCCATCCAGGGCTCTTGCATGGCCCTCCAGGCCCCTCTTCCCCTGCTCCTCCTCCGTCTCCTCCTCCTTGTACTGCTCCTTGTCCTGCTCCTTGTCCTCCTCCCTCCTCCTCCTCCTGCTCCTCCTCCTTCTCCTTCTCCTCCTCCTCCTCCTCCTCCTCCTCCTCCTCCTTCTCCTTCTCCTTCTCCTCCTGCTCCTCCCTCCCTCCTCCGCCCTCCTCCTCCTCCTCCTCCTCCTCCTCCTCCTCCTCTCCTGCTCCTCCTCCTCCTCCTCCTCCCCTCCTCTCCTCCTCCTCCTCCTCCTCCTCCCCTCAGTCCATATAGTGCCTCCAGTGGGCAGCCCGCCAGCAGTACTTTCGCAATGGAAGGCAGCAGCAGCAGCAGCAGCAGCAGCAGCAGCAGCAGCAGCAGCAGCAGCAGCAGCAGCAGCAGGGGGTAGATGCGGAGCCTCCCTCGCGCGAATGCGCGGCCGCCTGCAATCGCTCTTTGATGGGTATAGCGGGGCAGAATCGGATTCTTCGGTCGTCAACCTCCTCCTCGAGCGGCGCGCGCGGGTCTCTGCCTCGGCCAGAGCACTTTGGTCTGGAACTGGCGCAACCTCCCAACCCCAGGACCAGCGCGCCGCACAGCGGTGGCAGGCCCCGGTGCTGAGGGGGTGCGCCGGCCAAGGCCTATAGATTCCGTTACCAGGGAGGGTGTTGCCGGACGCCAGCACGAGGTAGGCGACCGCGAGCACGCCCCCTCGGCGCCGAGTGGCAGCCGCGTCGCCAGCGGGCCTGCGCCGCGCCGCCCAGCCTCCGCCCAGCCGCCGCCCAGCCGCCGCCCAGCCGCCGGCCAATCGCGCCAGGCTGCACGCCGGGCCGCGTGCCACGGCCGCCGTGCGCCCCAGCCTCGGCCGCCTCGGCCGCCTCGGCCTCTACACGCCTCCTCCTCCTCCTCCTCCTCCTCCTCCTCCTCCTCCTCCTCCTCCTCCTCCTCCCCCTCCTTTTTCCTGCTCTGCCTCCTCCTCCTCCTTCTCCTCCTCGTCGTCTTCTTCCTCCTCCTCCCTGGGAGGAGAGGAGGATATGGGAGGACAAGCGAGGAGGTGGAGGAGGAAGAGGATGGAGGAGGGATAGGTGGGCGGAAGGAGGGCGAGGAGGAGGACGGGGAGGAGCAAAGAGGAGAGGCGGGGGACGAGCAAGGAGGGTGAAAGAGGAGGGGGGGAGGGGGGCGGAAGGAGGAAGAGGAACGCAGTGCAATGCAATGCAGCGCATTGTGTGACTGCGCCAAAGGAAAATAATCGATGCTGGGGTGCCGTCTTAGGGCATTCCTGGCCCATCAGCCGTCTTAGGGCCTATCTGAACCGACTTGGGGCCCTCTTGGTGCACTTCAGGGCAGTCTTGGAGGCCATCTTGGGCGCTCTGAAGGCCTATTCGGCCTTCTTGGGGCCCCCTGGGGGCCATCTTGGGAGCCTCGGCCGTCATGAGGCCATCTTGGAGGCCTCTTCGTGATCTTGGGAGGATCCTGGGGGCTCCGTGGGTCGTCTTGGGCTGTCGGGAGGCCGAACAAAAGCAAATGCACAACTCCCTCAAACAACCTAAGGAACTTCTTTTGTCCATCCTGGAGGACCTCTTGGTGGCCTCTTCGGCCGTCTTGGCTGTCTTAGGACATTCCTGGCCCATCTGACGCCGTCGGACGCCGTCTCGGGGGCCTCCCTGAACCGACTTGGGGCTCTCTTGGGGCGCTTCAGGGCCGTCGTGGAGGCCATTTCTGGCGTCTTGGATGCCACTCGGGGCCGTCGTGGTGCCCTCTTGGGGCCGTCTTGGGGGCCTCTTGAGTCGTCCTGAGGCCATCCTGGTGGCCTCTTGGGCGATCTTTGGGCGATCTCGGGGGCCCCTGGGGCCGCCTTGGGCCGGCTGAAGGTCGAAAAGAAACACATGCCAACATATCTTTACACAACAACGGGAAATCCAGGATTTTGGCTTCTTCAAGGCTTCCTGAAGGGGGTTCCTGAAGGAGCTCTTGGAGGCCTCTTGGGTCGCCTTGGAGGCGTCTTGGGCGCTTCTTGGGCCGTCTTGGGTGCCATCTTAGGGCCATTTTAGACCCATCTTGGCCCGTCTTGGGTGCATCTCTGGGTCACCTTGGGCTCTCGTTGGGCCATCTTGGCCGTCCTGGAGACCATATGCCGTGCACCCCTGTGACGAGGCCACAGGGAGCGGCGGATAAGGGAAAGCGCACTTTGCGTGCTATCCGCTAGTCGGGAGGAACACGTGGGGGAGTTCGAGGGTGTTGGCGGCCCGACGCGCAGATCGAAGTGCCTCCTTTGGGGCCGAACGCGGCGATTTCCCTAGGGACATTCTCAAACAGTGGCGACATACTCAACATCGTTTTGGGAACGCTCTTGAAAGTTCCCAAGACGGCCCACCAGGACGGCCAAAGAGGGCTGCAATATTGCCCAAGATTGCCCGAAGATGATCGTCGCGGAAGTGATGCAGCAGAAAGGCAGGAGAAGCACCGTACACCACATTGCGGGGCAGCGATGCTAATTCGGTGCATGGCGGTTGTGCCGAATATCCCAACGGCCAGTTCTTTTTGTACATGAAGGCTTGTGCAATTTGACGATTGACGGTGCCCGTATCTGGCGAGGTGTTCCTTCGGCAGATACGTGTTCGGTGTCTGCAAACGAACATTATTTCCAGCAGTTTCCATCATTTCGGAAAATTTATTGCGAAGGCCTTACGGCCGGTGCCGCCGACCCTGAAGGGGGACAGCGACGACGGCGGCGACGACGACGGCGGCGGCGGCGGCGACAACGACGACGACGCTGACGTGGGTCAGAGTCCTCAGAGATGCTGTTTGGGTCCCTTCGGAGCGCGCGCTCTCGGAGGCCTCCGGGGGGCAGTTTTGGGGCCTTTTGGCAGCATCTTGGGGGCCTCTTGGGAGCCTCTTGGGGCTTCCCGGGGGCCTTTTGGGGCCTCTTGGGGCCTCCTGTGATCTTCTCGGGGCCGAGGGCTCGAAATGTCCGTTCGGTTCCCGTGTCAGGGCACCCTGTTGGAGACATTTGGGGCGCCGGCGGCCTCTTGGGGGTCTCGTGGAGAACTCTTGGGGACTTCTTCGGGCTTCCGGGACCGCGCGGAGAGGACGCGTATTCGGGTTGGGACCCCCCGGGACCCCCCCCCCGCTGCGGGGAAGGGATCAAAGGGAAGGGGCTTCCCTTTGACTCCACTCCGACGTTGCTCAATGTCGCTTTGGATGGTGCGCTTGATGAGGAGGGCCCAGAGAAATGGAATGGAGGACGGCGGAGACGACGACTCGAACGGAGCAACCCGACTCCAATGGGAAAGCCCCTCACACATGCGCACGCCGACAGTGTCGGCGGATTTATCTCTTCGGACGTACAATTTTCTCAAACCCGAGGAATCGCCATCAGTTCTTTGCGAACGAACAAGTGTTATCTCCTTGTCAGCCAGGATCTTCTCGCTTTGGTGCGCTGTCGGACGATTGCGCCGTACACTGTCCAAGCTTCCAGCGTGAGTGTGTCGTCGGCTTCGCTTTTGCGCTGCGCGACAGCAGAGCTGCGCGGACGGGTCTTCAGCTGCACCGTTGTATTCCGATTGGCGAATGTGCTTGTACTCTGTTCGCGAGTGTGGAAGTGGCATGTCACACTCGAGCGCCGCGGCGAGCATCAAAGTATGTGCCTCGTGTCCTTGTGCGTACCTGAATGCTGCTCCGTTGCAATGCTTCGTACCGTTTTCTTGGGCGGATTGCTGGGGTCTGTCGCCCGTCTGGTCGCCTGACGGACCCCCGCCAGCTTGGGCCTGTATACAGCGCTGCTTGTCTGGTTTTCTCGCATGACCGCTCAGCTCGTGACTACCGTCGGAGGAGCAGTCGCTCCACAAAGGATCCTGATCTCCAAGAGGGTCTTGGGGGCCTCTTGGGCCGCATGGGGCTGTCAGAAGGCCGTTTTAAAGCAAATGCCCAAACCCGTCAATCACCGCAGGAACATCAATGATTTTGGTTTCTTCTGGCCTTCCTGGAGGATCTCTTGGAGGCCTTTCGGGCCGTCTTAGTGGCCTCTTGTGCGCTTTTTGGGCCGTCTTGGGCTTTTTTGGATCATCTTGGCGGTCTTGGGGGCATCTTGGGACCGCCTTGGAGGCCATCTTGTGGCTATCTTGGACTCTCTTGAGCCCCTCTTGGCCGTCTTGGAGGCGTCTTGGGGGCCATCTTGGGCTCTCTTGGGGCCATCCTGGCCGTCTTGGAGGCATCCTGGAGGCCGTCTTGGGCAATTTGGCCGTCTTGGAGACCATCCAGGCCGTCTCGCAGATATGTTTGGGGAATCTACGGGCTGGGCTCTTCGGGTGGCTGGCGGGTTGAGCCGAGACCCCACTGAGAGTTTTTTGAACAGAACCAAACATCTGCTGCATGTTCGGCACGCCGTGCACCCCTGTGCTGAACCTCTTCCTCATCCTTATCCTCCACCTCCTCCTCCTTCTCATGGCTCCTACTCGTCGCTCCTCGCTCATCGCTCCTCCTCCTCCGCTTCCTCGCTCCTCCTCGTCTTCCTCCTCTTCGATTCTCGTTCCTCCTCGCTCCTCCTCATGCTCCTCCACGTTGCTGCTGCTGCTGCTGCTGCTCCTCCCCCTCCTCACTCCGCGCTCCTCCTCCGCCTCATTCCTCCTTCCTCGTCCTCGTCCTCCTCCTCCTCCTCCTCCTCAACCTCCTCCTCCTCCTCACTCCTCGCTCGTTGCTCCTGGCTCCTCATCGCTCATCCTTTCCTCCTCGCTTCTGGCTCCTCGCTCCTTGCTCCTCGCTCCTCCTCTTCCTCCTCGCTTCTCCTCATCCTCCTTCTCTTCTTCCTTCCGTTTCTCCTCGTTCTCCTCCTTCTCTGCCTTGCTCCCCGCTCATCCTTCCTCGCCAGAAGGCGAGCTCTGCCTCCCCGCTCTTCCTCCGTCGCCCTCCTCCCTCCTCGTCGGCGCAAGCGTATCGATTCGATTGGGAAGCTTCGCTGGTAGAGGAATAGTGACGCCTTCTCCGTTTCCGTCCTCTGCCGTTCCGGCTATGCGGCCCCGGTTGCAGTGAATTGCACAGATGCGGTAGAAGAACAGACGTGTCGCCGATCCTCGAGAGGACAAAATCGGCGCAATCTTCTTGCTTCCCTCCCTACCTCCCGGTCGCCCCGGGGTTGGGCTGGGTGGGTTGGATGGGTGGGAGGGGCCAGGGTGGGGAGTTGGAGGGCCGCCTTCGCAGGTGCTTGGGCGTTACTCGGCTGCGTCGTCGCTGCCGCCTCCCCCGCCGCCGCCGCCGCAGCCGCCGTGGCTGCCGTCGTCGCCTCGTCCTCGTCCTCGTCCTTGTAGTCGTCGTCGTCGTCGTCGTCGCCGCCGTCGTCGTCGTCGTCGTCGTTGTCGTCGTAGTCGTCGTCGTCGTCGTCGTCGTCGTTGTCGTCGTCGTAATCGTCGTCGTCGTCGACGAGCGCCGTCGCCGGCGGCGCCCGCGCCCCGGGCCAGGGCAGAGAGCTCTCCTTCCTCCCTCCCTCCCCTCCCTCGACCCCGTCTCCCTCCCTCCTTCCCTCCCTTGCTCCCGTCCCGGCTTCTATGAGACCGCTGGGGAGTCTTTGGACGCCTCTTGGAGGTTTCCTTGGAGCCCCTAAGGCGCCTCTGTGGGCCCTCTTGGAAACCTAAGGGTCCCTCTTGGGACCATCGAAGAAAGAGAAGGAGAAATATGTAGAGGGCCCAGAGAAGGATAATCAAGTCGGGAGCTGCGTCAGCTGTCATATCAGTTCTTCTGCCCCAAAGTAAGGCGCTGGGGTATAAGAACTTCTCGCTTCAAGCGGCTTAGAACAGTGCCCCCAGGCTGCCCATGGATTCCATGGATGAGGCAAGGGCGAAGGGAACCAGGGAAGGAAAAGGCGGAACAACGGGCAGGCCAGCGATCCTGTATCTCCTCAAAGAACATGCGCGTTCTGTTCCTGTGCCACGCATGTGACGGAAAGAGCGAGGTACGAGTGATGTAAGTTATTAGGTGGGGCGAAGCCCTTAAGGGAGGGGTCCAGGGGAGGGACGAGGCCCGGTGGGATGTGAAACAATTGCCTGCTTTCGTCGTATTTTTTTCGGGTGAAGCGGCTCCCGGGCGGCTCCCATGGTCCCCAATCGGCCCAAGAGGGAGGGCACCAAGACGGCCCCAAGAGAGCCTCAGATGGCCTCCAAACGGTCCATGAGAGCCTCAAGACGGCTCCGGAGGCCCTCGGGCCCCCGAGGGGGCACCCAGGGGCCAACAAATATTGATTATTGGGCTTACGCCGCACCGCCGACCCCTTGGGGGTGTAGTTCATGCCTGCCAGTGGGAGTTTCCAGGGACACGTGGATTGATCGGTGGAGTGAGGGACAGCAGGCGGGCGACGGTTTTTCGAAGGCCTCCTGGCAGCACTTTTGAGGCCTCTTGGCGGCCGTGCTGGGGCCTCTCTTGGGCTTCCTTGGGGGCCTCTTGCGGGCCTCCTGGGGCCTCCTGGGGGGTTTCTTGGGGCCGAGTGCTTGACATTTTCGTTCGGGTCTTCCATCTGGCCCGTTCTTGGAACCGTCTTGGGGGCCTCTTAGGCTGTCTTGGAGGCCTTTTGAGCCGTCTTGGGGCCCTCTTTGGACGTCTTGGGGCCGTCTTCGGGGCCGCTTGGGCCGTGGTGGGGCGATCTTGGGGGCCTCTTGGGCCGTGGTGGGGCGATCTTGGGGGTTTCTTCGGCCGTTTTGGACGTAGTGAAAGGCCGAGAGGCGAATTTGTTAAACATATACGTTCCTCAAAGGGTTGGACGTTTTTTGTTTCGTGAGGGCCTCCTGGGACGCCTTTTTGGGGCTTCTTGGGGCGTCTTGAGGGCTTCTGGGGCCGTCCGGAGGCCATCTTAGGCGTCTCGGAGCGATCATTCGGCGACTTGTGGCCCTCTTGGATCGTCCAGGGGGCCTCTTGAGGCCCTCTTGGCTCGTTTTGGGGCCTTCTGTCCCCCAATGACGCGTTCGACTGGGTCCGGTGGAACTCACCCCCCCCCTCCAAATCGACTTCCAAATCGACCAGACTGGGCTCCCAGGGTAGGGGTTTGGGGAGGGGGAAGCATCTCACACGCCGATGAACCCCCAAGGGGTCGGCGGATTTGTACTGCGTTGCGTTGCTTTGCATCAGATTTGCTAGCGTTTGCTTGCAATACTTTGCGCTGCATTGCGCTCGCATATCGTTTCTGTGGCAGTGCGTTGCATTGCGCTGCCATTGTGCTGACTCCATCCCTTTCACTGTCTTGCATTGCCTCGCACCGAAGTGTAGGAGTGCCCCCCAAGAGCGCCCAAGGATGGCTGCCAGATTGCCCATGAGGCTTCCAGGACACCCCTAGGGGGGGCCTCCAGAGCGCACCCAGACGCCCCAAGATGGCTTGCAGAAGGGCCACAAGGCTCTCAGACGCCCCAGGAGGCCTTCAAGAGGCCCCCCCCCCAGCGGGCCTTACAAGGCCAACGTCGTTTCACTCTTTTCGGGGAGCGTCTCTTTTGATGGTATTCGCTTCTTCGGTTTTCACATCGTCCAAGACAGCCCAAGAGGCGCCGGAGGGGGTCCCAAGGCGGCTCCAGGGAGTCCCAAGACGGCCCAAGAGGGCCCCGAGAACGCCAAGGACCGCCCAAGACAGCCCAAGAGAGCCCCAAGAGGTCTCCAAGGGAACTCCAGAAAAGGCTCCAAGAGGGGGTTGTGGGGCACTATCTTGGAGCGCGTGGCTCCCCGCATGCCCCCAAGACCCTCCCGAAGGCTTCCAGGACGCTGCCAAGAGGCCCAGGCTCCCAGAAGCTCCCGACAGGCGCCCAATGGGCCGCGAGAGGCTCCCAGGAGGCTCCGCAGAGGCCTCCAAGAGGGCACAACCCCCTGCAGCTGCGCGTAACGCAGGGCGGATAACCTCGTGTTGTTGTTTCGGGTTCTTGTTGTCCTACGCAGTTTGTGGGCACATGTCCCTTGCTATTCTGCTTTCCAGGTTGGCTTCCTCAATCCAGTTTCGGAACGTTGCCAAGGTCTGCGCTGGAACCTGAGCGCGCGCGAACATCGCGCGATCGATCTAGCAATCGGTATTCTTTCTGTTTTACGCGCGCACTCCGTTCGGAGAGGAGATTCCGCCCTCCAGGCAGCAAGTGTTGCATATTGGCACGCTTGCTGTCGCAATCTGCACTAGTTATTTTATGCGCGCTCTGTTCGGAGAGGACCCGCCGCCCTCCAGGCAGCAAGTGTTGCATTTCTGACTGGCCTGCGGCCCATCCCGCCACCGTGCCTGGGTTTTGGATATGAGGCCTGGGGGCTTCCTGGGGCCCTTGGAGGCATCTCGGGGCCTTGGAGGCAGTTTTTGAAGCTTCTTGGGTGCCGTTTTGGCACCTCTTGAGGCCCTTTTTGGGTTTCTTGGGGGCCTCTTGGGGGCCTCTGGGGGCTTTCTGGGGCGGAAAGCTCGAATTGTCGGTTCGCGTTCCCCCTTTGGGGTTCTGTTGGGGTTGTCTTGGGGCTCTCTTGGGCAGTCTTGAGCGCCTCTTGGGCCGTCTTGGGGCCCTCTTTGGCCGTCTTGGAGTCCTCTTGGGAGCCTCTTGGGCCGTCTTGGGGTGTTCTTCGAGGCCTGTTGGGTTGTCTCGGAGCGTTGGAAAGCAGAACAGACGCACATGCTACAATTGTAAGCTTTTCATAGGAATTTGACAGTTATGGCCTCTCGGGGCTCTCTTGTGAGGCCTCTCGGAGCTCTCTTGGGCTGTCTTGGCGGCCTCTTGGGCCGTCTTGGAGCCATCTTCGGCGTCTTGGGGCGATCTTTCGGCGTCTCGGGGTTATCGTGGGTCGTCTCGGGGGCCTCTTTGGGGCCTGTCTTGGGGCCCTCTTGGCGCCCCCAAAGCCCACGCGACACATCCCGGGATCGCGCGGCAGCGCGCAGGAGCGCCTGGGAAACCGGCGGTCTGGGCCCTTCAAGGAACCTGTAGCCCCAGGGCTGCAGGGCTGCGTGAGCCTTGGGGCATTCCACCGTGCCAAAGGCACGGTGGCGGATGGGCACGCTGGCTGTCGCATTCGGCGTTCTAATATCTTCTGACGCAATGCATTTCGGAGAGGGCTTGCCGCCCTCCAGGCATCAAGTGTTGCATATTGGCGCCCTTGCTGTCGATCGTTTTCGATGACCATTGGCCAGGGGATTTTTGAGTATCTCTCAAATATACGCAATCATTTATTTTTTCTTTGGAGAGTTCGGGAAACATTGGGAAGAAATCTTCGTTGATCCGCGCGGACCTCTTGGGCCCTCTTGGGGCTGTCTTCGGGCCCTTTTCGGCCGCTCTGGGCGCCTCGGGTCCCGTTTGGGGGCCTTCCTTGGGGCATGATCTCGCCCTTCTCTTTGGACCTGGAGGCGGCCCCGTCCCAGGGGCTGTCGTCATCTCGGAGTGTCGCTTGGGGACGACGGCCTCCACGACCACGACGGCGGCGACGACGACACAGACCGCTACCACGACCGCGACCACGACGACGACGGTGAGGGCAGCGCCGACGCCGACGCCGACGCCGACGCCGACAACTACGCCGACGCCGACGAAGACGCCGTCGCCGACGCCGACGCTGCCGCAGCCGACGCCGAAGCTGCCGCCGCCGCCGCCGCCGCCGCCGCCGACGACGACGACGACGACGACGACGACGGGCGCAGCGTCGACGACGACGACGGGCGCAGCGTCGACGACGACGACGACGACGACGACGACGACGACGACGACGACGACGACGACGACGACGACGACGACGACGACGACGACGACGACGACGACGGGCGCCGCGCCAGCAGGAGCCGCTCCACGCCAAGGAGCCGGAGGGCAGGCCCGCGGGCGGCCACGTGCACAGCGGCGTGCTGCACCTCGCCGTGGGCCCCGGGAGCGAGGCGCCGCCCCCGGGGAGCGAGCGAGCGAGCGAGCGAGCGAGGAGGAGGAGGAGGAGGTCGGGGGAGGAGGTCGGGGAGAGGAGGAGGAGGAGGAGGAGGAGGAGGAGGAGGAGGCGGAGGAGGAGGAGGAAGAGGGGAGGAGGAGGAGGCGGAGGGAGGAGGAGGAGAGGAGGAGGAGGGGAGGAGGGGGAGGGGGGGGTGGACGTCCCGGGGAGGAGGGGGAGGGCGTCGGAGGGGAGGAGGAGGCGGGGTTGGGGAGGACGAGGAGGAGGGCGTCGGAGGAGGAGGAGGAGGAGGAGAGGAGGAGGAGGAGGAGGGGAGGAAGGAGGGCGTCGGAGGCGCAGGAGGAGCGGGGTGGGGAGGAGAGGAAAGGAGGAGAGGAGGAGGAGGAGGAGGAGGAGGAGGAGGAGGAGAAGGAGGAGGAGGAGGAGGTGAAGGACGGATGTTGATGGCGAGGACGATGATGATGGTGGTGGTGATGATGGTGTGGTGGTGGTGATGAATGACCATGGCGACGGCGACGACGACGATGGTGACGGCGACGACGACGGATACGACGATGCTGATGATGCTGATGCTGATGATGCTGATGCTGATGCGGATGATGATGATGATGATGATGATGATGATGATGATGATGATGATGATGATGATGATGATGATGACGATGATGACGATGATGACGATGATGATGATGATGATGATGATGATGATGATGATGATGATGATGATGATGAGTATGAGGATGAGGATGATGAGGATGAGGATGAGGATGATGATGATGATGATGATGATGATGATGATGATGATGATGATGATGATGCTGGAACTGATGCTGATGACGATGAGGAGGATGATGATGATGCTGCTGATGATGATGCTGGTGGTGGTGGTGCTGATGTTACTGATGGTGGTAATCATGCTTGTGATGATAATAACGATGGCTATGCTGATGCTGGTGATGATGGTGGTGGTGGTGATGATGATGAGGACGATACTGGTGATGCTACTGATGCTGCTGCTGCTGCTGCTGCTGATGATGATGATGATGATGATGATGATGATGATGATGATACTGTTGATTATGCTGATGCTGATGATGATGGTGCTGACGATGATTAGGATGTTGATGATGATAAGATTGCCGATGCTAGCGATGATGATGATGCTGATGCTGATGCTGATGCTGCTGATGATGATGATGATGATGATGATGATGATGATGACGGTGATGATGATCTTGATACTGATTATCATGATGATGCTGTTGCTGCTGATGATGATGACACTGTCGATGACGATATTGATGATTATGGTGATAAAGAAATGACTAAACTTCTAACGATGCTTATGACGATGATCATGACTATGATTATCCTTATGATGATTATGCTCTTGTTGATGTTGACGGTGGTTCCGATAGGCGATGGTTGCGATGATGGTGCAATGGTGGTGCTGATGGTGGTTGTGATTGTGATGGTGATGGTGATCGTGATGGTGATGGTGATGATGATGATGATGATTATGATGATGACGATGATGATGAGGAGGAGGGGAAGGAGGAGACGGATGACGATGATGATGATATAGGCGGTGGATGAGGGGGTAGATGAGGAGAGCCATGATATGGGGAAGAGCACGATATTGAGGACGCTGACGATGATGATGAGGAGGATGAGAGGCGCAACGAGGGAGACAAAAAGATGGTGGAGGAGGATGAGTTGAAGACTCCAACTCATCCTTCTCCACAACCCCTTCCTGGTCACAATTCGGGCCGGGAGCAAGTCGACGGCAGCGACCAGCAGCAGGATGATCAGGAGGAGCGAGGACGAGGAGGAGGACGAGGACGAGGACGAGGAAGCGTGGAGGACGAGGACGAGGACGAGGACGAGGACGAGGAAGGGAAAGGGCATGGAGGACGATGACGAGGAGGGCGAGGAGGGCGAGGACGAAGGTGCCCAGGACACGCACGAGGAGCCGAGCCCTGCCACCCTCGGAGCGGCGAGGTGCCCCGGTTCGTCGTCCTGCATGGCAACAGGATCGACCTCTTCGAGACCCAGGCGGCCTCGCCCTCCTCGTGATCCTCGTCGCCTGGAGCGCGGACGACGACGAAGACGACGACGAAAGCGAAGGCGGTGACGACGGTACGAGGAGCGACGTTGGCAGAATACCACGAAGATGACGATGATATCGTCGACGACAAGAAGACTACGACGACGACGATGGGAAGTATGTGGTTACACGGCCGATGCAGCATCACGGCGACCAAGACGATGGCGATGCGACCAATACGAATAAAACATCAATACAATGTTGAGGTGATGTCGATGTTGAGGTTGGTGATGGTGGTGGTGATGATGATGTGGTTGTTGATGATGGTGATGATGCTGATGATGATTATGATGAGGATGATGATGATGCTGCTGATGATGATGGTGATTACCATGCGTATGCCCCAGAGTTTCACGATGAGGAGAAGGGACATGCTAGGAGGAGGAGGAATAGGAGGAGTAGGAGGGAATGATGATGATGATGATGATGATGATGATGATGATGATGATGATGATGATGATGATGATGATGATGATGATGATGATGATGCTGTTGCTGCTGCTGCTGATGATGATGATGATGCTGATGATGTTGATGATGATGATGATGATGATGATGATGATGATGGTGATGATGATGATGAGGAAGAGAAGCAGGGGAAGGAGGAGGACGACGACGATGGGAAGGGTTCTTCCCTGGCTCCTCTTGCTGCTGCTGCTGCTGCTGCTCCTTCTTCTCCTCCTTTACTCCCTTTCCCCCTCCTCATTCTCCTCCCCCCAGATTCTGGGGGGAGGAGAATCAGGGGGAAAGTGAAGAGGATTCTGTCTGCTTCTTCGCCTCTGAGGCGGAGAAGCAGACACAATCCGTAATCCTCCTTTCCCTCCCACCGCTCCTCCTCCTCCTCCTTCTCCTCCTCCTTCTGCTTCTCCTCGTCCTGTTCCTCCTCCTCCTTCTCCTCTTCCTCTTTTTCTCCTTCTCCTCCTCCCTCTGCTGCTCCTCCTCCTCCTTTGGGCGCCATGGCCATCCTGGTGCATTTTCTGACCGTCGAAGCTTTGGCATTGCTCGTGCGGCTTGTGCAGTCACGAATCCTTCCTGCGCGATCGGCAACGTTCGCCCCTCGCAGCACCAAGAGAGGGGTGGGAGGTGGACTCGGACTCCGATCGACGCTGTCCCCCCAGTCTCCCTTCTCCTCCTCCTGCTTCTCGACCCCTTTTCCTCCTCTGCAGTCTTCCCGCTTCTGGCCTGTGCCCTAAAGGGCTTTTTCGGAGGCTGGGCCACGACGGCCGGTAGCTAACGCTACGGGCACCGAGCCGACTCGAGTCGAGCCTCCCACTCCTGCTGCTGCTGCTGCTCACTTCGTGCTCCTTCACCTCCCCCTTGCATCGTCGTCGTCGTCCTCCTCCTCTTCCTCCTCTTCCGCCTCCTCCGGCCAGCCCAGGCCGACTATAGCGAAAGCCGGCCCCCCCTGACCAGCATCTGCGACGAGGACGTTACCCGGGCGACCGGGCTCCGTGAGAAGCCCTGGGGTGGGGGGCAGGTTGGAGAGGACAGGGCGTGGAGCAAGGCAATGGCCTGATCTGCCACTGCCGCTTGATGTCGGGGGTCGTAGGTAAGCGGCGAGCGGGGCCCACCCCTGCGCCAATCGTGGGCGAGATCCAGAAGGTCGGCAACTGGAGCATATACACATGACCAGTGGCGAGCTGTTTTTCAAGCCCAGGACTTCTGGAGGGTCGGGGTCGACGTCGGGGTGGTGTGGTGTGGTGTACACTTTTCCACTAAGGGACCAGAAACAGTCAGAAACGAGCACAATTCGAACTGAGCACGATTAGAAATGAACGACGTACATACCAGGATCCTGTACACACCAGGATCCGCTGCCCTGTGCGAGTTTCAGTGCCGGGCCGGCGAAGCAGCGTCGGCGTGCAGAGTGTTCGGCTCCCCACGAGTGGCCCTTTTCGCCTCCGGCGCGCCTCGCCCTCGGCGGAAGTGCTGCGGGAGGCCAGCGCAAGCCAGCAGAAGGAGGGTGGCGGCGGTCCTGGTTCGCCTCGAAGGTCGGGCAGGTTCCTGTACAGGAGGAATACTCAAGAATAGTAGCAACAGGTAGTCAGGTGATGGTCTCTCGTGCTCTTTTGACTATTCTGGGTCATTCTGTGGCATGCTTTATTACCTTGTACAGCTGTGCTCTAGAGCTCGGACATCTTTATTTTCGTCGTGGTTCGTGGTTCGTGGTGGTTCGTTCCCCTCGGCCCCTCCCCTGAGCCTGAGCTCCAGCTCCCCTGGGCGACTCCCCCTTGGGACCCCCCCTCCGTCCAGGCTTCCCAGGACAGCCCCCCTGGGCCGCGGAACCCTTTATTTTCGTCGTGGTTCGTGGTGGCTCGTCCCCCTCGGCCCGCCCCTGAGCCTGAGCCCCAGCTCCCCTGAGCCACCCACCCCTGGGAGCCTTCCTCCGTCCAGGCTTCCCAGCTCCCCTGGGCCCCCCCCCTCGGGACCCCCCCTCCGTCCAGGCTTCCCAGGGCAGCGCCCCTGGGCCACGGAACCCTTATATTTTTGTAGTGGCTCGTGGTGGTTGCCCCCCTGAGCCTGACACCTGGGCCACCTCTCCTTGTGACACCCCGCCTCTGGCCAGGCTTCCCAGGGCAGCCTCCCTGGGCAGCGGAACCCCTTATTTTAGTCGTCGCTCGTGGTGGTTCGTCACCCTCGGCCCCCACCCCCCTGAGCCTGAGCCCCAGCTCCCCTGAGCCACCCGCCCTTGGGAGCATTCCCCCGTCCAGGCTTCCCAGGGCAGACACCTGGGCCGCGGAACCCTTTATTTTCGTCGTGGTTCGTGGTGGTTCGTCCCCCTCGACCCCCCCGTGAGCCTGAGCCCTAGCTCCCCTGGGCCACCCCCCCATTGGGTTCTCTTGCACAGCTTTGCTCTAGAGCTCGGACATCTTTATTTTCGTCGTGGTTCGTGATTCGTGGTGGTTCGTCCCCCTCGACCCCTCCCCTGAGCCTGCCCCAGCTCCCCTGGGCCACCCACCCTTGGGAGGCTTGCTCCGTCGTTCGTGGTGGTTCTTTCCCCTCGGCCCCTCCCCTGAGTCTGAGCCCCAGCTCCCCTGGGCCACCCACCTTCGGAGGCTTGCTCCGTCCATGCTTCCCAGGACAGCCCCCCTGGGCCGCGGACATCCTTATTTTCGTCGTGGTTCGTGGTTCGTCATGTTTCGCCCCCCCGGCCCCTCCCCTGAGCCTGAGCCCCAGCTCCTCTGGACCACCCCTTCTTGGACCCCCCCTTCCGTCCAGGCTTCCCAGGGCAGCCCCCCTGGGCCGCGGAAATCCTTATGTTCGTCGTGGTTCGTGGTTTGTCATGTTTCGCCCCCCCCCCCCCCCCCGGCCCCTTCCCTGAGCCTGAGCCCCAGCTCCTCTGGACCACCCCTTCTTGGACCCCCCCTTCCGTCCAGGCTCCCCAGGACAGCCCGCCTGGGCCGCGGAAATCCTTATGTTCGTCGTGGCTCGTGGTGGTTCGCCCCCTCGCCCCCCCCCCTGAGCCTGAGCCCCAGCTCCCCTGAGCCACCCACCCTTGGGAGCCTTTTCTCCGTCCAGGCTCCCCAGGACAGCCCCCCTGGGCCGCGGAACCTTTTATTCTCTTGCACAGCTGTGCTTTAGAGCTCGGACATCTTTATTTTCGTCGTGGTTCGTGATTCGTGGTGGTTCGTCCCCCTCGGCCCCTCCCCTGAGCCTGCCCCAGCTCCCCTGGGCCACCCACCCTTCGGAGCCTTGCTCCGTCCATGCTTCCCAGGACAGGCCCCCTGGGCCGCGGACATTCTTATTTTCGTCGTGGTTCGTGGTTCGTCGTGGTTCGCCCCCCTCGGGCCCTCCCCTGAGCCTGAGCCCCAGCTTCCCTGAGCCACCCCCCCTTGGGACCCCCCTCCGCCCAGGCTTCCCAGGACAGGCCCCCTGGGCCGCGGAACCCTTTATTTTCGTAGTGGCTCGTGGTGGTTCTTTCCCCTCGGCCCCCCCCTGAGCCTGAGCCCCAGCTCCCCTGAGCCACCCCCCCTTGGGACGCGTGTGGGTCACTTTACAACCAGAAGCGCACTTTACAACCAGATGGGTCACTTTACAACCAGCTTATAAAATCCAAGAAGGGCACTTCACAACCAGGAAGGGCACTTTACAACCAGGCAAGTAAAAACACAGATTGAATGCACGCGTGCCTTTCCCTGAAATCTCCGTGGGCAAGCGCAAGGGTGGCTTTGGGCTCTTTGAGGCATGTTGGTTGTAAAGTTGCCCATCGCGCACGAAGAAGCACTGCGCACGAGTTGGCGATGCGGCGACCTGGTGCGCTATGGCATGTCGCGTGCTGGTGGGCGGATTCGAGTTTTGACCTGCTCTCTAAGCTCTGTCGGTCAGTTCTGCCATTGCTTGCTCTGCCTTTTTTTCTGACGGGCGAAGGCTAGTCGCGCAGGACATACGAATAGACCATGATCCCGTCCAAGACTGGAGCTGCATGGCAGTGGAAAGCTGTAGTGGGAGATGTGGTGGAAGCGGGGGCTACAATGGGAACTGCATGGTGTTGGGAAGCTGCGGTGGCAACTGTGGTGGTCGCCAGGCAACGGTGGGAACTGTGGTGGTAGCTGGGCTGCAATGGGATTTGCGGTAGTAGCGGGGGGTCAGTCGGAATTGTGGAGGTAGCGGGGCTGCAGCGGTAAGTGTGGTGGTAGCAGGCACAGAGGTGGCGGTGATGCGCTGTCACGGTGGCTCAAGCTGCTGCGCTGGCACGGTGGCTGAGGCTGCTGCCCGAGCACGATACCTGCGTTGCTGCGCTGGCACCGTGGCTGACGCTGGAAGAAACGATCTTCGAAATAGTTGCATTTATTCGGGACGTTGAACCTCGATCTTCCAAGACGAGGAGCAGCAGGGGGCCAACTGGAGCGGGCGCACTTAGCCCCTTGCAGAACACCGTGGGGCTTCAGGGGCCAACGTGGCCCAAGAGACCCGCGGTGCCAATGGCCTAGTTCCCTGGGGCGCTGGGCCCTTGTGGAGGCCACTGGGCTCGCTTCCTGTGAGTGATCCCTAAAATGGGCAGCGCGTCGCCCTGAGCCTTCCTACGTATGCTGTCGCCTTATTCCCGTGCGAGCACGGGGCCCTTGTTGAGGCCGCTTGGCCCCTGCTAGCAAGCCCTGTCTTAGTCTGCTGGGCTCAGAGCGCCAGAGCGTCCAGGCGCTCGGGCTCAGAGGCATCGCTGGGGCCTGCTCAGAGCGTCCAGGCGCTCGGGCTCAGAGGCATCGCTGGGGCCTGCGCAGAGCGTGGGGCTCTGCAGAGCGTCCAGGTCCTCGGGCTCAGGGCATCGCTGGGGCCTGCGCAGAGCGTCCAGGTCCTCGGGCTCAGAGGCATCGCTGGGGCCTGCGCAGAGCGTCCAGGTCCTCGGGCTCAGAGGCATCAGGCGCTCGGGTTCAGAGGCATCGCTGGGGCCTGCGCAGAGAGTTCAGGCGCTCGGGCTCCAGAGCGCCCGCGTGCTCTGGATAATTTTTCAGAGCGTCCGCGCGCCCTGGAGCACTTTTGAGGGCGCCCACTTGCTCTGGGGCGTTTTTCAGAGCGCCCAATTGCTCTGGGGCAGTTTTCAGAGCGCCCACTTGCTCTGGAGCACTTTGCGGAACGCCCAAACACGCACGGCCACTCTGAGCTGGTTGTAAAGTGGTCCGTTCTGGTTGTAAAGTGGCCCGTTCTGGTTGTCAAGTGGTCCGTTCTGGTTGTAAAGTGGGCCGTTCTGGTTGCAAAGTGGACGTTCTCGATGAGAAAACATACTTTCCCATCCTATGTTGGCTGTAAAGTAACCCATCTGGTTGTAAAGTGGTTGTTCTGGTTGTAAAGAGACCGAATCTCCCCTTGGGACCCCCCCCCCGTCCAGGCTTCCCAGGGCAACCCCCCCTGGGCCGCGGAACCTTTTATTTTCGTCGTGGTTCGTGGTGGTTCGTCCCCCTCGACCCCCCCCTGAGCCTGAGCCCCAGCTCCCCTGAGCCACCCACCCTTGGGAGCCTTCCTCCGTCCAGGCTTCCCAGGGCAGCCCCCCTGGGCAGCGGAATTCTTTATTTTGGTAGTGGTTTGTTTTGTTTCGTCCTTCTGCCCCCCCCCCCCTCGGGCTGCGGACATCCTTATTGTCGTCGTGGTTTGTGGTTCGTCGTGGTTCGTCCCCCTCGGCCCCTCCCCTGAGCATGAGCCCCAGCTCCCCTGGGCCACCCGCCCTTGGGACCCCCCCTCCGTCCAGGCTTCCGTCGTGGTTCGTGGTGGTTCGTCCCCCTCGACCCCCCCCCCTGAGCCTGAGCCCCAGCTCCCCTGGGCCCCCCCCCCTTGGGAACCTTCCTCCGTCCAGGCTTCCCAGGACAGCCCCCCTGGGCAGCGGAATTCTTTATTTTGGTAGTGGTTTGTGTGTTTCGTTGTGGCCCCCCCCCCCCCCTCGGGCTGCGGATATCCTTATTTTCGTCGTGGTCGTGGTTCGTCGTGGTTCGTCCCCCTCGGCCCCTCCCCTGAGCATGAGCCCCAGCTCCCCTGGGCCACCCCCCCTTGGGACCCCCCCTCCGTCCAGGCTTCCCAGGGCAGCCCCTCTGGGCCACGGAACCCTTAATTTTCGTCTTGGCTCGTGGTGGTTCGTCCCACTCGGCCCCCCCCCCTGAGCCTGAGCCCCAGCTCCCCTGAGCCACCCACCCTTGGGAGCTTCCCTCCGTCCAGGCTTCCCAGGACAGCCCCCCTGGGCCGCGGAATCCTTTACTTTGGTAGTGGTTTATGGTGGTTCGTCCCTCCTTTGTGCAAGAGCCAGGGCACGCGTGCCACTTGTTTTTCTTCCAATATTCGATTGTAGGAGGACGTGCCCGACCTAACCCTTATCGGACGGGGCCAGGACGAGGGTAAATCCGTTCCAGAGCGTTCCGGGATGTTCTTGGAGCGGTCTGGAACGCTCGGAGAAGGCCGCGGCGCCCGAGACATCCTCCAGAGCCGCCGGACCAGATCCACTCTTCCTTTTCGGTAGACTATGCCCAAAATCCCCAAGGCTTGGGCGGGTCCGAGATGCGACGCGCCTTTTGTGCTAAGATCGCGCTGGCTGTGGCGCCACGGCATGCCACGGGGCGCCCAGCGGTCATCGACTACAGTGGAAGCGCATGCCAAGAAACGCCCTGCTTGCCTCCAGGGTGCCCTGGGTTTCTTGGGCTTTGATGGTTTTGCTACGGCAAGCGCGACGTCCCCACACCAAAAATCAATGGACGTCTTGGAGTCTCAGGGTTGGGCTCCTGGTGGAAGGTTTCCTGAGGACTGGCCTCCACTGTAGGGTCGCGAGAGAGGGTGTCGCAGGCCCTCCTGGATTTCGGTTTGGTATACAACATGCCCCTTCTGCAGGGTGGCTTTTGTATACCAAGCCTTCTCCCAGGGGGGTGCGATCTGATCCTGGCGGGGTGCGCGCGCCAGCCCCGTCGGGCTGCCGTGCAGAAGCATCCCAAGAAATCCGAACGCCGTGGGCCTGGTCGAACTGCAGATCGTAGGGACTTCCTGGTGACCACTCCAGGCCCGGCTCCGCAGAATTGCTCCCCTTGGAAACCTTCCAGCATTTCTCCTGGAAGCGTCTTACGGAGTAGTGACCAGATCTCAGATATTCTCTCTTATCCTCACCCGATTTTATCCTCGTCATGGTTTTGTCTCATCAGAAGTGGCGCCCAGGCGCGAGTGGCGCGGCTCTCCACGGAAGGCAGGGGCCTTCTTACCGGAGGCTGCTCAGAAGGAAACTTCTGAGAGGGCTTCGTAGAAGCCGGGCGGGCGCCGGAGTAGCCTCGCCGCCGTGCTGGAATCGACGAGACGTAAGAGTGACCTTCTGCCAGGGTGCCCTTTGGTGCGGGCCCAATGGGGTCCCCCGATCGCTGAACCCGAAGCGGTAGCAGCAGCTTGCGCCAGGGTTTGGCCACCACGCGTGTCCCGTGAAGTCGGGGTCACCCTTACACATTGTTGATTTCTAACTCTTCGAGAATTCTTTGATTCTTTTGGGGGCCAAGATCCTTTCATTTCTAATTGTTCTACCCTGGGCCTCTTCCTGGCCGCTAGGGGGCCAGGAACACCTAGACACGACCACACTTAGAAAAGAGCACGACTAGACATGAACGACGTGTACGTGTAGCCGATGGAAGCCCCCCCCGCCTGCTCAAAAGCCCCCCCCCCACCCCTCTCGCGCCACCTCCTCGCGGGCGCTGCCAGGCTCTGCCGGCGGAGGGGCTCGCGGAGGCTGGCCCTCGGGCAGGAGCGAGTCGTCGACGCTGTTGGATGCAGGGCCTCTGTCGGAGCTTGTCAGGAGGGAAATGATGGCCACATTAGACGACTGCATCGCGCACCTCACCAAGTTTATTTGTCCATCCAACTCTGCCAAGCGTGCTCGGTTGATTTAAATGTACTTCGTGGTTGTAGGCCTGTCATAGTACGTGACATGAGGCGTCCGAAAGAAATGATGGCCAGAGTGCAGTCTCCCCAAACGAAGGTTTTCAAACCCACTGCGGTTTCCAATGTCGATTGCGTGCCCGTCCAGTGCGGGCTGGCGTGGCATGTTGGAACATGACAACATGATGTTCGCACAGGAGATGTTTACACGAAAGCTTGCGTGACGCATGCCTCTCAGGAAGCTAACGCTAGAGGGTGTCGTACTCTCTCGCACCTGGTCGACGAGTAAGCTGCCGGGTCGGCACTGTCAGAGGCTCCACCGCCATGCTGTGAACTCGGAAGCAACTGTAAGAGGAAACGGGGGAGGGCGCGGAAGCGGGGGGGCATGTTTCAAAAGAGCAAATGTGACGTCGGATGTTTGGGGAGGGCGGAAGGCAGGGCGCACATGACGGATGCTGAAGCGGCAGAAACGACGACGGCGTGGACGGGGAGGCGGAGGCAGAGGCGCAGCAGCGGGAGGTGGGAGGAGGGAGGAGGGACGAGGAGCCAGGCGGGAAGCGGGAAGAGGGAGGCGGGAGAAGGAATGAGAGAGGTTGTGATTGGAGCCCCTGTGCTACGAAACGTCTCTTGCAGAACGGGCCAGACCATCTCGCGCGCAACATCTTCGAGCTTCGCATTGTGAGGATGGCTCAGGCGAAACGGGCCAGACCACCTCGCGAACGACATCTTGGAGCTCAGTATTGGAAGGATGTCTCAAACGAAACGGGCCGGACAACCTCTCGCACACGTTCTGACAACTCCACGTCGCACTCGTTTCCCGTTACGCCCTCTCCTGCAACTCCCTTCCTTCTCCCTCCTCCTCCTCCTCCCCCGCCTCCTGCCTGCTCCCTCATCCATATCCTCCTCCTCCTCCTCCTCCTCCTCCTCCTCCTCCTCCTCCTCCTCCTCCTCCTCCTCCCCCTCCTCCCCCCCTCCTCCCCCCCTCCTCCCCCTCCTCCTCGTTATCCCTTCCATATCCTCCTCCTTCTCCTCCTCCTCCTCCTCCTCCTCCTCCTCCTCCTCCTTCACTTTCTCTTCATCCCGAACGGCATCTCGGAGCCCAGAGTTGCGAGGATGTCTCCAGCGTAACGGGCTGGACCACCTCGGGCGCGGCATCTCGGACCCCAGAGTTGCGACGATGTCTCGGGCGAAACGTGCTGCAAGGAAGTCTCAGGCGAGACGGGCCAGACCACCTCGATCGCGGTGTCTCAGAGCTCCGAGTTGCGGGGGCCTCTTGGGGCCTCCTGGAGCCTCCTGGGGCCTCCTGGGGACCTCCTGGGGCTTCCTCCTGGGCCTCCTGTGGCCTCCTGGACCCCACCTGGGGCTTCCTGAAGCCTCTTGGGGCTCCCAGGGGGGATATCTAACATGTGGCCGTCTGGGCCCTCCAAAATCGGGAGGGGCCACAAGAGCAGGAAAAATCAACGAATCGACACCGGATGTGTGATAACTTGACACTTTCTGATGTGGGGGCCTCCTGGGCTCCTGGGGCCTCCTGGGAGCCTCCTGGGAATCTCCTGGGACCCCTGGGGCCTGCCCTGGGCGTCCTGCGGCCTCCTGAAGCTCTCTGGGGCCTCCTGGGGCTCCCAGGGTCCCAGGGGGGTTATGTAACATGTAGTCTTCTGGGCCCCCAGGCTGGACCGCCTCTTGCGCGGCATCTGGGAGCTCAGAGTTGCGAGAATGTCTTGTAGGAAACGGGCCAGACCACCTTGCGCACGACATCTCAGAGCTCAGAGTTGCAAGGATGTCTCGGGCGAGACCAGCCGGACCACCTCGCGCAGGGCATCTCAGAGCTCAGAGTTGCGAGGATGTCTCAGGCGAAACGGGCTGGACCACGTCGCGCGCGGCATCTCCGAGGTCAGAGTTGCGAGGATGTCTCAGGCGAAACGGCCCGGACCACCACATTTTTTGAGGACGTCTTTGCTTTGAATTCCCTCGGCCGGAGTTGTGTTTTATCACAACAGCACCCCGTTCAGCAAGCTGTTTGGGGAAAAGAACACAGACACAATTAATCGTCGACTCCCCAGAAAAAGTGAGAAAATATGGGAAGTGGGGGGGAAAACAAAAACCTAGAAAATATGGGGAAATATGGGGAATCCTGTTATTTGCGTGTATTTGTTTGTGTGTCCCAGGGCCCCTTCAGTTTGAGAGACCTCCTACCCTGGCACGTCGATTAGAGAATTTGACGTTTTCGGTTCGCGAGAGGGCGTCGCAGCCGTTGTTTTTGCGGGTCCAGGTCCGTCGGTGTCGTCGGCCCTGGGCCGTTTTCACTAATGGGTTGTTTACTACAGGGAGGTTTGTCCACCGCCGATTCTGGAGCTTGAGCAGGTGTGTTAACTTTGGGCGTCCCCCAAGCAAGCCGAGGTGAACGTCCACGACAACGCTTTCGTCATCGGCGCGGGCGGCCACCAGCTGGATCTGAGGCCTGCAGCCTTTGTCGTCCAGAGCGATCGGTCCATCGATCGACGGATCCAGGCCCGAGGGTTCAGGATCGACCTTGGTCGCGGATCCACGATCGGTTCTCCATGGTCCATCTTGGTCGAGGCGCCAGGGCCTAGGATCGTGGATGGGGATGACAGTCGAGGACCTAGAGGTTCGACGGGAGGGGGAAGGAGGATGGGAGATGGAGGGGGTGGGTGAGGAGGAGACGTGAGGCGGATGAGCAGGAGGAGGAAGAGGAGGAGGAGGAGGAGGAGGAGGAGGAGGAGGAGGAGGAGGAGGAGGAGGAGAAGGAGGAGGATTGCGGATCGGGGGTTGGGAGAGTGGTGTTGCCGATGATAATCGTTATGATGATGAGGAGGAGGGCAAGGGGGCAAGGGTCAGTTATCGGAGAGAGAGGGGGATGCTGCTGATGATGTTGATGATGAGGACGAGGATTATAATGATGATGATACTGCTGCTGCTGATGTGGAGGAGGAGGAGGAGGATGCTGATGATGACGATCATAATAATGATGATGCTGGTGGTGATGATGACGATGCTGCTGATGATGCTGCTGATGATGATGATGACGATGCTGATGACGATGCTGCTGATGATGATGCTGATGATGCTGCTGATGATTCTGGTGATGATGCCGCTGATGATGCGGCTGCTGATGTTGATGCTGATGCTGATGCTGATGCTGACGATGCTGCTGCTGTTGCTGATGATGATGATGATGATGATGATGAGGATGATGCTGCTGCTGCTGATATTGATGATGATGACGAGGAGGAGGATTATGATGACGATTATGCTGATGGTGATGATGATGATGATGATGATGATGATGATGATGATGACGATGATGATGATGATGATGATGATGGCGACGATGCTGATGATGATGCTGCTGATGTAGATGATGATGCTGCTGCTGATGACAATGATGATGATGATGATGATGATGATGATGATGATGATGATGATGATGATGATGATGATGATGCTGATAATGATGATGCTGATGATTTTGATGATGATGATGATGATGATGATGATGATGGTGGTGGTGGTGGTGGTGGTGGTGATGATGATGATGATGATGATGATGATGATGATGATGATGATGATGATGATGATGATGATGATGATGATGATGATGATGATGATGATGATGATGATCGGGACCGAGCTCGGATCGATCGCTGCTCGCTTCGAATGAGCGTAACGAGCGAGCAGGCGGCCCAACGACCCAGACGAGAATCGCGGCCAAGGCGTCCACTGCGCGCCTCAGTGGGGGCGGCAGCAAACATGACTGACGAACGCGAACAAATCACGCGAGCAATAGCCATGCCAGAGCCTCATCACCAACGACGAGGGCACGATAGATCGGAATCATGACACTAGGGTCGTTGGTGCGAAAACCTTGCAAAACACGATTCAAACGATCACGCTTGTTCGGCTCTCGACGGAGTTGGGTTGGACTATAGGGCAGCAGCAGGCCTCCACGAGCCTCGCCTGGTGTATAGGATCCGCACGCCGTGCACGCCACGAACTCGCCTGCGACCCAGAGCCTGTGCCCCCTGCACGCCTCAGGCGGTACGGGGCCAGACTCGGGGAGAGGCGCAGTAGGTGGGGTTGCCGAATTCGGCCCAGGCTGTCCCCCCCGAGCCCTCTTGGGACAGGGCGCCGCACTCCCCGGTGGGGCCCGCTGGCTTGGCCCGAGGCCGACTGCGAGTGAGCTCCATGGAACCCACCAACCGCAGGCGGTGGGAATCCAGCCGAATCCCCCAGAGTGGCCTCCAGCGCGAGAGCTCCGGGGTGCGACCCCGCCGACCCCGCAGACGCAAAAGTACGAGGCCGCACGGCACGAGCTGAAGGAGCAGGGGCAGGCCGCCTCTAGCAGCGTGACGGCGCGGGAGCTCTAGGGAAGTTCGCGCCGGTCCCACCCGGGCCATGATCCGTTGCCAGAGCTCCAGAAGCGGATCCAGCCGACGGCTCGGAGGACGAGGAAGGCACAGAAGCCGTCAGCGCCGCTCCAGTCATCAGCGCTGCGGCAGCCACCATCGCCTGGGGGGCGGTGGACGTGGCCGGACTGCACTCCGAAGGCTATATGTCCTCGGCGAAACTCACTCGCTTGCGAGGAGGCCCCTGGGCAGCCTGGGACAGAGAAAAGTCGACTGGGGCACCCTCCCCCGCGCCTGGGGCCGCCGAACAGTGGCTCTAGATGCCTGGGACGCCGCCGGAGGCCCTCGCCGCGGGCCTCAAAAACCCTGGCAAGTTCCCGCCTCTGGGAACCCCCGGGGACCGAAAACTGGGGGATGCTTGGGCCGCTCCGGGGGCTGCTGGGGCGGCCGCGGGGCGCGGAAAGAGGAGGAGGAAGCTCAGAGGTCCGCTCGACCACATTCCCCTGATCCGCCTGGGCCCGCGCCTTGAGCCCCCCCCCCCTTCGCGCGCGACCAGCCAACGTGCAAGCTTTTCTGCCGCGCCATGTGCACCGCTACCACGAGGCAGCGAAAAACAGGACATGAGCAGAGGCTGCCGTCACGCATGGCTGACCCCGGCGTCGCCCCTACTGGCGCGTCCGCCGCCCTCGTGCACGCGGCGGCCGCGGATCGCGATCTGGCGCCAAGGCCCCCGACTTCAGGCCGTCGTGCACCGCTGCCACCCAGCAGGTCGTCTGACGAAGTTGTCGAAGAAGGAGCTTGGACTCCACCTTCTGCTGGTCCGTGAAGCAGTTCAGCAGTGGAACCCCGATCCCAAGCGAGCGAGCGCGTCCGCCCAGTCGTTGCCATGCTGATGCTGGTCGTTGCCGCTCTGGTGCCCACGGACGTGAACAATGCGCACGTCCGAGGAGAGGCCGCCGTGGTCATCCAACTTGGCCCACAGCTGCACCCGCAGATCGCGGTTCGAGCGCCTGGGGCAGCGCGCCCGCGCGCGCCCGCGCGCCCGGCCGAGGATAACCTCCAGGTGATCTGTTTGGATGCAGAAAGGCTGAACGGCCACCAGCAGAACCTGAACGACCGCCCAGAAAGGCAGAACGGCCACCAGCAGGTGAAGATTGGACAGGTTCAGGCAGCCCGCCGTAGTAGTAATAGCCGCTGACGGCCCAGAAGCTCTCGAGGATGACGAAGCCCCAGCCCGCTCTCGCAGCCTGCGGGCGGCTCCGCTGCTTCAGTCAAGAGCCGTCGGCGTGCATGAGGCATGTGACCACGAAACCCGGGGCTGCCAGCAGCGCGTGCCAGCGGCCGCTGTCGTCGCGAGGAGGGAGATCAGGCAGCGAGGACAGCGGAACCCGCAGGCGCGCCCAGCGTGGGTCGTTCTGCATGATGAGTGGCAGTCCGTCGAGCAGGGCCCCGTCCAAGGCCAACTCCCGCGCGGGCTGGCACGGCTCGCACTGCCAGGTAGCGGTGAACGGGTGTGCCAGCTCGGCGGCTCGAGGGGGGCTCCGCTTCTGGAGGAGGAAGCTCGACACAGCAGGGGCCCGGAGATTCCCAAGCCCCCTCGCGTTGCAAAAAAATCACGGCGGGGGGGGTTTCGTTGTTTTCGGCCTCCGGGGGCCCTTCCCGGGCCTCGGGGCCGTCCACATGATCGACCCGCGAAACCGGAAGGAACATTAGAAATGTGAGGCAGGGCAACGTTTCAAAGACACCCGAGTATATCGATCTTGATGTACCGTGCCGAGGGCTGTGCTGTGCTGCGCCGTGCTTACCTGCGATGTGCCATGCCGTGATTGTGCTCTATAGGGTTGTGGACCGAGTCTTCTTTTACATCCGAGTCCTGATCGAACTGATCTGAATCTTAAGCGCGAGCCGCCTGAGCACATAGTAGCTACCCAATGCTAATTGACAGGGGGACATGCCAGGAGGACGCGCCGCGGAACTTCCCAAGGGACGCGCCAGGCGACGTGCCAGGGGGCGTGCCATGGGGACGCACCGTGGGATGTGCCAAGGGGACGCGCTACGGTACATGCCGATGGACGTGCCACGGGACGTGCCAGGGGACGCGCCGCGCGACGTGCCAGGGGGACTCGCCACGAGACGCGCCTCGCAACGTGCCAGGGAACGTGTCAAGTTGCAAAGTTGAGTGTATCGATCTTGATGTGCCGTGCCGAGGGCTGTGTTGTGCCTGGGCGACCTGGGCACCTGAAAACAAGCGTTTCGCTCAAGGCATTCTCGACACATCCTCATGCGTTTCCGACGCATATGGCGACGACCACACGACTTCTCCGTGCAAGCGGCTCGTGCTTCGCAGGCATTCGTTGCGCATCATTCCCCTCAGCTTTCCTCCTCCTTCCCAAGTAACCTGGAAAAAAGACATATTCCACATCTTGTGGCCTTCGTAGAAGACCAGCACGCGACCCGCGCGCCTGCCCCGCTTGGAGGGACGCCGACCTCTCCGGCGACGGCCGCTTCGTTCGTTCGTGGCCTTCTCTGACCTCTCTTGCAGGAAGGCGGGAACAAGACAAAAGCGGAAAACTTGTTCAGGTCGACCCTTGCTCTATTGTGACAGTGTTGCTCCTCCTTGCGGGACTGCGGCGGCGGCAACCGACTGGCGCGCCCGAAATGGGTAAGGTAAAGAATGGCCACCATGCCCACCAGCAACCAGCAAGTGCTGTCCCAAGCCACCAGAGGGCGGGCGACCTTCTCCCTCGAGTGGGCAGCGTTTGCGGCGACGCCGACAGCGAACCCAGTCCAAGGTGGGCAGGAACTGCTATTGGCCTTCGCGCCCATTGATCCTCGTCGTCTGTTTTTCCTGGCTAACTCGAGGCTCTGGTGGCCGTTCGGGATGATCTGGGCACCCTGAGAACGTCCCGAGGCCGTATCTCGTGCTGTGAGAGACGGGGGTCAATGCAGACGGGGGTCTGCCAGAGCGCCGGATCGTGCAGTATCCTGCAGAGCCAGGGGTGCCTTGACCCGGGCTTGCGCGCAGGACCCGACAGGATCCTGCACGATCCTTGAGGATCCTGCAGACCCCGACCGACTCGGGCTTGCACCGGCCCGGGCCAGTGCGTCCCCGAGCAACGCCGAGCAGAGCCTCATGACGGCGACGCCCGAGCATCTGTCGTGCCCCTTTCGGTCCTCCCGAGCCGACAGCAGCCGACGGTAACCGACGGCTCCGCAACGGCCTCCTGCTCCTCCTCCTCCTCCTCCTCCTCCTCCTCCTCCTCGTCCTCCTCCTCCTCCTCCTCCTCCTCCTCCTCCTCCTACTCCTCCTCCTCCTCCTCCTCCTCCTCCTCCTCCTCCTCCTCCTCCTCCTCCTCTCCTCCTCCTCCTCCTCTCCCCTCCTCCTCCTCCCCCCCCCTCCCTCCTCCTCCTCCTCTCCTCCACCTCCTCCTCCTCCTCCACCTCCTCTCCTCCTCCTCCTCCACCTCCTCCTCCTCCTCTCCTCTTCCTCCTCCTCCTCCTCCTCCTCCTCCTCCTCCTCCTCCTCCTCCTCCTCCCCGCCTCCGCCCCACAGGGTGCCGCAGGGCGAGTCGGTGGAGGCGTGGGTGAGCGCCCTGCGCGGCATGCTGGACGCAAGCGGGGAGGAGCCCGCGCCGCGGCAAGGGCTCGGGCCGCGGCGGCGTCGGCCGTCGGCCTGCGCCCGTCGGGGTGGTAAGGATGGTGGTGAGGGTGGTGAGGGTGATGACGATGATGATGATGATGATGATGATGATGATGATGATGATGATGATGATGATGATGATGATGATGATGATGATGATGATGATGATGAAGAAGAAGAAGAAGAAGAAGAATAAGAAGAAGAAGAAGAAGAAGATGATGATGATGATGACGACGATGATGATGATGAAGGTGATGATGCTGCTGATGATCACACTAATGATGATCATGTTGATGCTGATATCCATGATGATGCTACTTATGACGATGATGATGATGATGATGATGATGATGACGATGCTGATGATGATGACGATGATGATGATGATGTTGATGCTGATATCCATGATGATGCTACTTATGACGATGATGATGATGATGATGATGATGATGATGATGATGATGATGATGATGATGATGATGATGATGATGATGATTATGATGCTGATGTTGGTGATGATGATGATGCTGCTGATGATGCTGATGATGCTGATGATGATGATGATGATGATGATGATGATGATGATGATGCTGATGCTGATGCTGATGCTGATGAGGAGGAGGCGGAAGCTGAGGGGATGCGGTTGATGCAGGTGACGTTTTTGATGGTGACCATGATGATGCTGCTGATGAAGATCATGATGCTGATGATGCTGCTGATGCTGATGATGATGATGTTGATGATGCTGATGCTGCTGCTGTTGCTGATGATGCTTATGATGCTGATTATGATTATGAGGATGCTGGTAAAAAAGGATGTCGATTCTGATGATGCTGATAAGAAAGATGATGTTGCCAATGCTGATGCTGGTGAAGAGCATGATGATACTGCTGCTGCTGATTATGATGCTGCTGCTGATGACGATGATAATGATGCTGCTGCTGATGATGATGATGCTGATGATTATGATGATGATGATGCTGATGGTGACAATGATGTTGTTGCGGATGATGCAGATGCTGCTTATGATTATGATGATGATGACGATGACGATGATTGTGATGGAGGTGGAGTAGGAGGAGGAGGAGGAGCAGGGAGGAGAAACGGAGATAGGACACAGGACAAGCTACATGCGTTCGCGCCATATCTGGCATGCGATCAACCCCTCCCATGCCGTCGCACTTCGCTGTTGTTTCTATCCTCGGACGCGTATGCGTATAACAGCGGACCTGGAACTCCCCAACCACCCATATCGTTTTGTGCACACTCGGGAACAGAGCGGCTGCGTATAGGGGGAGGAGGAGGAGGAGGAGGAGGAGGAGGAGGAGGAGGAGGAGGAGGAGGAGGAGGAGGAGGAGGAAAGGAG